CCCTAAGGAATTCATAGTGTTTAGTTGCAGGCTTTGGGAGTTTAGAATCAGTCTGGCGAGACTGATGTCAAGTTCAGCCCAAGAAACTCCACGAGACAGTACTGGAACAGCTCAGTTACTTTATTAGCTCGCACCTGCTAGACAGAATCTAACGCCACCAAATAATCAACAAAGCAATTTGAAGGTGGGAAGGAAAACATAGAAGCATGTTGAAGCATGCTCAAGGAGCCCTCAGTCTGAGAAATGAGGTGGTCCCATGAGCACTTGGGGTGAAGCAGCCTGTCTGTTCTACTACTTTATCCATATTACCATATGAATAAACAGGGCAGAAATGAGAATGGGAAATGTGTGAGAACATGCTATTGAGAATTGGACCTCTCATATAAATGGCATGTTCTTAATTCCTTAATCAAATAAAACTGGAGCAGGGGCTTCTCTGTTTTGGTCTCTTTCATTGAGGAACTTTGCTCTGGGAAATTTCCAGGGGAATGTTCCTCTGCTGATTTTTAGGAAGCAGGAGTCGGCTGTTTCTTCCGTGAGTTTTCTTCTTATGTTTGGAGTATAGCCAACTGCTCTCCTTTTCTCTTCAACTTACATTTCCTATCTATTTTTAAACTGTTGCTTTTTAATGGGATTTAGTTAGTCATTTTAAAAATGTTGGTTTTTTGTAAGCTGCCTCAGGGGACCCTTGGGAAAAAAGAAAAAAGTAGGCAGTGTGTGAAATTAGAATAAATGAATAAAATATAATAAAATTAACTACGTCAGATCATCAGCAAAGGAAGTCAAGGGGGAGAGGCCTGCTGCTAGAAAGTTGCACTGGTTTGAGCTAATGAAGCCAGCCCTGCATTGGGTTTTTGTTTTGTCCTTTGTTTCTTTCTCTCAATATATAGCAGATTAAGCATGTACGTATGCAGACTTAGGAATGAAAGTGCTTAGGCAGAGTAGCTTAGATTTCATACTCCGTCTTTCATTCAGCACTACTGGACTTTATAGTCTGTGTCCTCTCACTGGCTCCAATTCAGCCAAACGAGAATTGTCTCTTGCTTCAAGAAAATGTGGGTTATGCTTTTGAAAATGGTCCTCACATACAGTTTTTGCGCTGAAATTTAGCAGTCTTAGATGCTTCTCTCAGATACTTCCTCAGCCTTCTGGGATGGAGCATAGCCAGAGATTTGCCTGTAGCAGTTCTATCTACCCACCCCCATTTTGTGCCCTCCCAGTGTGTTAGCTGCAGGCTGGGGAAGGTTGAGTTGCCCTCTACCACTATGCAGACTAGAGAACTCTACTAAGAACAAATAACAGTTTAAATGAGGTAGAGAAAGCATGCAGAGCATCATTTGTGGAATTCCTGCCAGACCCTTAGTAATAGCTCTGCTTTGGGGGTCCTGTGACCAAAGGGGAGGGTGAGCTGACAGTGACAGAATCAGCAACATTCCAAGCAACTACCCAACTCCCTCTCCCGTAGGGGTGCCCTGGGAAAATATTTTGAGAATTTTATTTTCTATAGCCTCCAGCTGGATCTGGCCCATTTTCAAACTCTATCTTCTTTTTACCACCTTCTCTCCCACAGCAATTTTGGTCCCATTCCATTCTCTTTCATACAGAGACTCCCAAGCCACTTTACCTTTTTTTCTAAAACTCTCTTGGGTTGGAAATAATAAAAAAGGCTTGAAAAATCTAGTTCAGAGTTCCATAAGCTGGGCACCCTCCAGGTTTTTGGACTACAATACCCAGAATTCCAGAGCCAGCATAGCCACTGCTGAGATTTCTGGAAGGTGAAGTCCACACACCTGGAAAGTGTCCAGGTTGCGTAAGACTGATATAGTTCTTTCATTTTCAAGAGAACTAGCCTGGGAACAGCACTAGTAATTATCAATACCAGCTCAATTTTTTAAAAGGATGAAGAAACAGAGGAAATAAGAAATCCAGTTGGAAGTCAGCTAGAAAGAAGAATCAACAATTAGGTGAATGAAAAGAAATGCTTTGAAATATTAGCTACCAGAAGACATCGTCTTAAAGTATGGAATGGTTTGTAGAGTATGAGTTGCTTTTCTACTGATTTGTTCTGCCTTCATCTGTAGGGAAGAAGCTCCAAACTAGCATTTCTGTTGCCTTGCCTCCTTCCAAAATGTTGGAGATGATGTTTTGTCAAGAAGTAATGATAGGTTAAAGGCATTGTTCATTGAGAAAAAAAGCAGATCACTGTCTGCCTTTTTTAATGGATGTCATCCTCCTTTTGAGTTACACTGCCTCTGAAATAACTGAATCCTGCCAAATTATCCTTGGAATGAGATACAGGAGCCCCCTTAGATGTCAGGCTGAAGCTCCATCACCACAAGTGCTAGGGGATCAGTTTTGTTAAGAAAGGACATAGACATAGTTGTCCTATCATTTTCTAAAGTAAATGCTCACCAGGGTCCCAAACCCTTAGGAATTCCTCTGATCCTACCAAATCTTATCCCCAATGCACACTATTTTCATGACTCAAAAATGGCCTACAAATTACAGTGACAATTTCAATACAGTAGAGCTGAAGCCTAATTAAAGTGACAGGCACCCCTCACCTACTTCTTTGGCCAAAATATCTGATATTCAGAAGCACGACAGTTGTCATGCTGAATAGTCTTTTATGGACCAACTAAGCTTCCATGAATCAACTTAATAAGACATCAAGATGATTGCTGATGGAATTATCATGTGTATAAAACCATGGAGAAGTAGGCCCACCTCCTCCTCCATATAATGTCTCCCAACCCATTAATTTGGACATACAGGCATGTAATGTGGAATTTGCTGCATTTATGTGGATTCTTCCATGCGTTAGAACAGGAACCTGCAGATTTCAAAGTCTTGGGTGAAGCCCCTAGAGCCCTTCCAAAGCTGTTGTCAAACTGAAAATGTTACTGTGATGATCAGGGGAAGCTATTTAATACATGGGAAGTAATATTAACTATATTCAGTTCATTTAATGGAATGTTAATGAAATTAAATCACATTCCTTTTTTATCCTGGCTCAACCTACTTCCTCCCCACCGCCCCCCCACCGCCCCCAGCTTTACACAGTTTTACATGAACATGTCCATGAAATCACCAGGAACTGAGTTCAGTTCAAAAGTGACTCGACTTTACCATACCTTACAGCTCATGCTGTGACAAAAGTTGTGAACCCATCATTCATAAGTAGCTTGTGCAGGACTTTAAGCTGTGCAGGCAGGCCTCTGAAAGTATTGTAGGTTCTGTGGACCTACAACGCTGATATGCAGACTCAGTTCTATTTTGGCAGAGTCACAGAATGTTTTCAGCTAGAGAAGTTCTCATAAGATAAAGGATTTTTTTTAAAAAATGGAAATCAGATCCAGTTTGGAAGAATTTCTCCATTGGAGCGCACTAATATTATCCTGGCATCTCTAAGCAGACAACTGTGCATTTCTTCTAATAAAATAAAACTATCCTTTACAATAATCCCAGAAAATGCAGAGATCTTCCAGTGCCTGCAATTTGCACTGAGCCTAACAAACCTTGTGGAATTTGGTTAATAATTCAGGGATTAGCAGTCTGAGAAATTGTTGTTGTT